ACTCTGTGTCATAGGTGCACTCTTTTTTTAAATGTTATCAGTTTAAAAATAGTTATGTGGCAGCCTGATACTAGAGTTGTTTAAAGAGTTGTTTAAACTCTTTTTTTTCTCATTAATCTACACTCGGCACCCCATAATGACAAAGTGAAGACAGAATTTTAGAATTGTTTGCAAATTATGAAAAAGGGAAAAACCGAACTATCACATTGGCAGAAGTATTCAAACCCTTTGCAACAACACTTGAAATTTAGCTCAGGAGCCTCCCATTTCTCTTGATCATTGCTGAGCTGCTTCTAGACCTTGATTTGGAGTCCACCTGTGGTAAATTAAATTGATTGGACATGATTTGAAAAGGCGCACACCTCTCTATAGAAGGCCTCACAGCTGACAATGCTGTCAGAGCAAAAGCAAGGAGGCCAAAGGAACTGCCTGCAGAGATCAGAGACAGGATGTTTGCAAGGCACAGATGTGGGGAAGGCTACACATTTTTTTTCTGCTGCACTGAAGGTTCCCAAGAGCACATTGAACTCCATAATTCTCAAATGGAAGAAGTTTGGCACAACCAGGACTCTTCTGAGAGCTGGTCGCCCAGCCAAACTGAGCAATTGGGAAAAGTGCTTTAATAAGAGTGGTGACCAAGAACAGGATGGTCACTCTGACTGAGCTCCAGATATCCTGTGTGGAGATGGAACAAAGTTCCAGAAGGACAACCATCACTGCAGCCCTCCACCGATCTGGCGTTTGTGGCAGAGTGGCTAGACGAAGCCTCTCCCCAGTGTGAAACACATGAAAGCCCGCTCGGAGTTTGCAAAAAAAGCACCTGAAGGACTCTCGGACTGTGAGGAACAAGATTATATGGTCTGATGAAACCAAGATTGAACTGTTTGGCCTCATTTCTAAACGTTATGTCTGGAGGAAAGCAGGCACCGCTCATCACCTGCCCAATACCATCCCAACAGTGAAGCATGGTGGTGGCAGCATCATGTCGTGGGGGTGTTTTTCAGTAGCAGGGACTGGAAGACTGGTCAGGGTTGAGGAAAAGCTCAATGGATCAAAGTACGGAGATATCCTCAAGGAAAACCTGTTCCACAGCACTCAGGACCTCAGACTGGGACGAAGGTTCACCTTCCAACATGACAATGATCCTAAGCACACAGCCAAGACAACACAGGAGTGGCTTAGGGACAACACTGTGAATGTCCTAGAGTGGCCCAGCCAGAGTCCTGACTTGAACCCTATTGAAGATCTCTGGAGAGACCTGAAGAAAATGGCTGTCCACCAACAATACCCATCCAACCTCACTGAGCTTGAGAGGATTTACAAAGAAGAATGGCAGAAAATCCCCCAACCCAGGTGTGCAAAGCTTGTCCCGTCATACCCTAAAAGACTTGAGGCTCTAAGTGCTGCCAAAGGTGCTTCAACAAGTACTGAGTAAAGGGTCTGAATACTTAACATTGTAACAATATGGAACATTTAATCTGTCTGTTACACACTTTAATGTAACCCTGTTATGAGAAAAACGCAAGGGCTTCGCTCCTTGCTGACCTCCCTCTGAAAATGCTACTTAACTGGAGCTTATTCTGCCTCTTTAACTTTAACTTTAACACTTTCCGAATCACTGACAATACAACAAGAATGCAGATCATGTCGATGAAACATCCAAATCCCTTATCTGGATGCTTCTTTTTTGGTCAGTGGCAAGAAGATCCAACAGCCATTTACTTAGCAATTCTAGAAGAAGCAATTAACAATGGGAGAGTCCGTGTTTTTCTCTTGACAGGTTTCCTTGTTTCAAGGATGGAAGTGACGATTATAATACACACATATTGATCATTGATATTGGCTCTGTCTGCCTTTTCAGACGTTCCAGAAGCCGTTGCTGGAATCAGAGCTGTTAACCGAGAAGGAAGTGGCAATGATATTTGTCAACTGGAAGGAGCTAATCATGTGCAATATTAAACTGCTCAAGTAAGTGTTCTTAATAGCAGTTAACAGTCTTCCTAATTCTTTCTAATTTTTTCTTCCTCTTAAACGAAAAGTAGTGTATTTGTAATACATATTTTAACCTAATATTGCAATGCTTGATGTATAAAATGTAGTCATTTTGTACATTAGCCACTAGAAGGCTAATGTGGTGATGTCTCCATTCTTAAAGCCATTTTTTCCAATATTTTTTTAACCCCTTCATGACTGAGCTTGTTTTTAGTTTCTGGTCGTAAATGACTGACACACTTTAGAAATTTTTGCTGTGTGCTTCTTCCACGTCAGTAATATACTTTCTTACAGACTGCACCCACACCTATTATGTATTGTTTTTCAGAGGGCAGATAGGGCTATATATTTATATCACATAAGTGTACCTAACGCCTCACTTAAGACAAATAAAATATAAAAAAAAGAGGAAAAAACGTAAAGAAAACACCTTTTCCTCAGTTTTTTGATTTGTAGTATTTTTTAGAAAAACAGCACAGCTACAAAAAAAGGCATTAAATACATTCATTTATTTGTCCTTTTATTTGGAAAAACCTCACCTCCCTAGGATTTTAGAAATGTTTCTGTACTTGCATAGTTGCATAGTTACATAGTATTTGAGGTTGAATAAAGACATAAGTCCATCAAGTCCAACCTATTGTGTGTATGCATTTATATTTGAGCAGGTGTGTGCGTGTGTATTAGTCCATGTGTGATTTTGCTCTTAGGCGTACCTGTACCCCTGTATATTATGGTCTCTGAGGAACTCATCCAGGAGTTTCTTGAATGATTCCACACTCTTAGCTGAGATCACTTCCTGCGGCACCGAGTTCCAGACCTTAACCGCTCTGACTGTGAAGAACCCCTTGCGCCCTGTGTGTTGAAATTTGTTTTCCACCAATTTTTGGTTGTGCCCTCTGGTCTTTGTTACGGAGCTAACCGTAAACAGTTTGTTAATAATGTTGCTGTCACCCTTAAATAGTTTATACAAGAAGATAATTTCCCCCCTTAACCTCCTAACCTCCAAAGAGAACATATTTAATTTTAACAACCTTGTTTCATAGTTCAGGTCCTCGAACCCCTTAATAAGTTTGGCTGCCCTCCTGTACGCCACTCATGACTTCAGCCCATTCTGAAAAGGTGCCATTAACTGATATTCTTTGTGCACGTTCTTGTAGCCAGTTTTCTATCCATGTGCACACTAATTCATCTATGCCCATAGCCCTTAGCTTGTATAACAAGCGTTTATGTGGCACCGTATCGAATGCTTTGGAAAAGTCCAGATATACTACGTCCACCGGCCTCCCCCCATCCAGATCTCTACTTACCTCTTCGTAAAAGGTCAGCAGGTTGGTCTGTCAAGAACGATCCTTCCTAAATCCGTGCTGCATAAGTAATCCTTAATAATTCCCTTTAACAGTTTACATACTATGCATGTCAGTCTAACTTGTCTGTAGTTCCCGGGTGGGCATCTTGACCCTTTTTTGAATATAGGTGCCACATTAGCCCTCCTCCAGTCGTTTGGCACTCTACTAGCCATTACGGATTCCTTCAAAATTAGGAACAATGGTCTCGTTATCTCCTTGTTCAGTTCCTTGAGTACCTTGGGATGATAATGCTTTATTTGCATTTAGTAGTTTAAGCCTATGTTGTATCCCAGTTTCCGTCAACCACTCAGGTGTATTTCTTGTTAAATTTTGTGTTTTTTCATGTACATTAAACCCATCTGTTTCCTCGGTGAATACCGACGAGAAGAAAGTATTTAGCGCCTCGGCCCTCTCCCTGTCGTTTGTGAGTAACGACCCATTTATGTTCTTTATTGGGCCTATCTGTTCCTTTCTCCCCTTTTTAGTGTTTATGTACTGATAAAAAATGTTGGGGTTCTTTTTACTAACTTTGGCGACATATTTCTCACATTCAATTTTAGCTGCCCGGACTATCAGTTTACATCTTTTGCTACATTCTTTGTAGTTTTGGAATGCCAATACTGTCCCCTCCGTTTTATACTTACTAAATGCTACTTTTTTTTTCCTTAATGTGTTGTTTTACTGTTTTATTTTTGTTTTTGATCTTTTACTTTTGTTACTTCTCAGCCTAAAACTAAAACCTAACATTTTAATCTTTTCTCTCTAAAAGTGGTCAGTTGGCATACAGACACTGTCACTAAGTGTCACACTTAGTGACAGCGACAAACTTTGAACATCCCTGTCATGGGTTTCATTTTTATTTGTTACATTTATTTTTTACACTTTATTTTTATTTATTTTTTACACTTTTCGGTATTTTTTTAAACATTTTTTACATTTTTATGTTTTTATGTTTTTTATTTAATTATACCAAGCAGTCATTGTGAATTAATCTCACTATTACTGCTTGATAAATTCATTCATTCATTTTTGGTTATTATTAGGCTGCTTCAAACTTAAGAACAGCCAATAATATCCTTAATGACACTGATCCCGCAGCATTTCAGGATCAGATGTCACAAAGGTTTTCTGATCGTTCCAACAACGATCAGAAAACCTGCAACATTGTTTTTAGCAATAAAAACATGTAACAAATGTTTCTTTTGCTGAAAGTTTAGAAGAAAAAAAAATGCCAGTATAGATCGGGATTTCCCGATCTATACCAGCTGTCAGTAAGAGCAGTAAAAGCTGCTCTACTCTCACTGTCAGACACCCGATTCCTGAAAGGGATCGGGTGTTTGAAACAGCTTAACTCTTTCATTAATGGATGCCTCAATACTGAGGCATCCATTAATGAATGGTAACCGCTGATTTTCAGCGGTTACCAGCATTACAGAGCCGCAAATAACTGGTCACGTACTGGACTAGGTGGACTTCACTGGTAGGATCAACAGGTATTTCTAGGACTTTGCAGCATATATTTTGTTTTGGAAGGCTATAATTGTACTTGACATTTCCTGTAATTACTCATTTTTATACCAAGGGCTTTGCGAGTTCGCAAAAAGATGTCTGGTGAGAAGATGCCTGTAAAGATGATTGGTGACATATTGACAGCTCAGTTACCGCATATGCAGCCATACATCCGCTTCTGTAGTTGCCAGTTAAACGGTGCCGCCCTCATCCAGCAGAAAACCGATGAAGTGCCAGAGTTCAAGGACTTTGTCAAGGTAAGAACTACAAGAGAACTGTGTCAGAGTGTTTATCCCAAGGTGACAGGTTCGCTTTTATTGTTGTACAGCTCTGTCTAGTGCCTCCCTGCAGCAACATATCACTGCTATATTGATCTATTGATGATTTTTTGCTGCTACACTGCTGCAAAAGGGGTCTGGATCAGGTCTCCACTGATTAGATCTCTCCCCCCCCCCCCCCCACCCTGGAAAAAAGTAAAATGATTATGAAAAATAAAATATCCAGGGGTACAAATTATGTAGACGTTGCATTGGAGAAAAAAATTACAAAGTGTGTGTTCTGGTTTTTAATGCTGTGAATATTTTCTTTTTCCTGCAGAGGTTAGCTATGGATCCTCGATGTAAAGGAATGCCTCTGTCCAGCTTCATTCTCAAACCTATGCAAAGAGTAACTAGATACCCTCTTATCATTAAAAATGTAAGTAACAAGCTTCATGATGTAACATCTCATCATTCAAAACCCAACTCCAGGCATAGGTTTGCTTTTTAGCATTGAATAGAGAGAAGGAAAGGGTTGTCCCTGTTGATGAGAATTCTTTTTTCCTGTTCTTTCTGACAGCAGTCACTGAACAGGAAGTGGGAACAAATCTCCCCAAGGAGAAAACAGAGACAATAAGATAACAAGGGAGGTTCTACCACTTCCTCCCTCTACTTTTGTACGATCTGTGGTTTTCCCCTCACTTCCTATTCTGTGTGACACCCATCAAACTGAAAATATGGGGAAAAGAAGAGCTCGGTCCAGTGCCTCCCTGCTGCAACATATCACTACTATAGTAAGCCCTCACGGGCAGGGCCCTCCTTACCATCTTGTCTTAAATTGTATTGTGACTGTAATGTCTTCCTTATATTGTAAAGCGCTGTGCAAACTATTGGCGCTATATAAATCCTGTATAATAATAATAATAGTGATCCATTGCTGAATTACTTCAGTCTGAAGTCTGAGGGCCAATTTATACCAGCCAGAACCGAGCCCACCCATGACCAGACAAATTCCCTTGCACTAGGCTGCACTAGAAAAAAAAAACAGTGCAAATCCACCCATAGTTCCAGACCAAACCATACCTCCAATAGATATAGCAGAAGACAGGATGGCCACGTGACTTCTAACATGTGTCCTGTCAGCGCACCTGTGGCTCCTCTCGCCTCTACATTCTGCCACAGAGGACACTCTGAGGCCCCTGGTCCTATTTACACGTATTCTAAGCAACGAATGACAGGGATATATATGATCTCTGGGGGGGGGAGGGCTGTACCTAAAGCTGGTGGTCTCTGTTCCGTTCCTCCGCCATTCCCTGGGGTTCCTGCAGCACGTCCTGTAGGGTGGTCTTTTGGTCGGGGCTACTTTTGGTTGGGGGATGTGGGGGCCCCTGAAGCCCTAACAATGTGCTGCAGCCTCCCCACCCTCCGAGAGTTACCTTCCTCCCGATGCAGCACCACCTATTGGCTCATCTGTCCGGCTGTCTGTCAGCTGCCTATTGTGCTGAATGAGAGGTGGAGAGCACTGAGCACCGATCACCAAGCGGACTTTCTATCGAGAGCTTTCCCAATTTAAAGACCCCCCGATCATCCCACCTGTGTCTCCCCTTGCCTACACATTCCACTGCTGAGAATATTCCGAGGCCCCTGGGCCCGCCTACACTGATTTTTAGCAATCAATTACATCATCAGTCGCTTATAGAGGCTGCCAGCGGCCACAATGTAAGTCTGTGTCTATAGCAATGGATGATGTTATCAGTTCCTAAGAATCAGTCGGGTGCCTTGTGGCAGACCTGTTTGCTCCCTTGCTACTGCAAGGGTGCAGGGGAGAGGTGAAAAAGGAAACTTTTCTGCATCTAGGTTGGGTAATCATTTTTTTTCTCTCATTTTGTCACAGCACCCCTGATGAGCTCATAGGAACTCACATGCACCCCTGAAGCATAAGGTTCCCTAAGGCTATGTCCGCTTTAAATGTATTCGGATGTAATAGTATGAAATGTCTTCTTGAAGCAAGTATTCTCTTCACTAATGCACAACCATTCAGCAATTTATTAAATCTGTTATTTTCTCCAGATTCTAGAAAATACACCCGAAAACCACCCAGATCACAGTCATCTGAAACAAGCACTGGAGAAGGCAGAGGAGCTGTGCTCTCAAGTCAATGAGGGTGTCCGAGAAAAGGAGAACTCCGACCGATTGGAGTGGATTCAGGCTCACGTGCAATGTGAAGGCTTGTCAGAGGTTGGTTTCTAGAGGGCGCAGATAGGTGGAGCAGTGCTGTGGAAAACCAAAAAGCAGAACCTCACCAGATAATTTTGGATGTATTCACACATTCAACACTGCTGCTGTGTGTGGCCTTTGTAGGTCTTGGCTTATAGTTCCGATCCAGGAAGACAAAGCTCTGCCTCCATATTTGCAGTAGGTGCCCCTGAAATGGCATCCGTCAGCATAATTCTATTTGAGGTGTAGCTGGCACAGACATATTTTTAGCAGTCCACACATCTTCTCCCCCATCGAAAGGAAAGTAGGTAAAATATTTTTTTATGTATTGGTTGTATCTGTATATCCATATACAGTACAGTGCAAAGGTTTTAGGCAGGTGTGAAAACATTTTGTGCAGTAAGAATGCTTTCAGAAATAAAAGTGTTAATAGTTAATATTTATCAGTTAACAAAATGGAAAGTAAATGAAAAGAAGAGAAATCCAATTCAAATCAATATTTGGTGTGACCACCATTTGCCTTTAAAACAGCATCAGTTCTTCTAAGTATACTTGCACACCATCTTTGAAGGAACACAGCAGGTAAATTGTTCCAAACATCTTGGAGGACTAACCGCAGATCTTCTGTGGATGTAGGCTGCCTCAGATCCTTCTGTCTCTTCATGTAATGTAATGAGATTGGTTATATGTTTGGAATTGTTGTCCTGCTGCAGAATAAATTTGGGGCCAATGATGGATAAGTATCTGCTTGTATTTCTTGAGGACACCATTGATACTGATCAAATCTCCAACTCCATTGGCAGAAATGCAGCCCCAGACTTGCAAGGAACCTTTGCCATGCTTTACCTTTGCTGCAGACACTCATTATTGTCCAGAGAACCTGCTGCCATTTTTCTGCACCCCAGTTTTGTGCATAGTTGAGTTGCACCACATCAGAGGTATGGCTTTTTGGCCGCGTGACCACAGAAAAATGGCAAAATGACTCCAAATTTTCTTTTCTGCTGGGACTACTTTAAAAACCAATGGACATACTTTTAATGCTTAGGGCTCAGTCACACTAGATGCAGTGCGTTCCGGCCCGATTTTGGCTGCAAGCACTATTTTGATCGCAGCGCACAGGACCGGACCGCAGGCACAATGTGCCTTGCTATCCCGTGCAGCAGATCGCATTGCGGCCAGAGGGCGTGGCTACGGCACCATTCACTTGAATGGCCCGCCATGCCCCCTCCTGCCGCACTAAAAACTGAGCCGGCCGCAATACGAGGCAGTGCGTTCTGGCCAAAATCGGGCCGCAACGCACTGCATCTAGCGTGACTGAGCCCTTACTCTTTTGCTGCACCCTGATTTTTTAAAATATAAATTGGGCTCTAAAGCTGGACTCCAGGCAGATATAAAAGATGCAGATAAGATAAGATAAGATGTTGCTCTGTATTGTTTAAATGTAATTTATTTTTCAAATGCAAGTAGTGTTAATACCAGAGCTCAGGGAGGGGGACAGAGAAGCAGTGCAATGATCTTGCTGAAAAGAGGATGGAGCAGAGTGAAAGAGTGATGAGCTCATCACTGTGCTGCTTCTCCTTTTACCATCCAGTCACAGGGTGTTGAGGGGATCTGGATGTGAAGGCAAAAACTGCAATATAGAAGATCAGGTCTCCTACGCTACCATACAGGCTGTGTAAATATCAGGACTGGGTGGACAAAAATACAAATTTTAACGTAACACCGCTCCTTATATATGTACTTTGTGTGTATTTAGGGCCCCTTACACATGGAAGATCTGTTTGTCAGTTTTTCAGGCAGACCGGATTGGATGACCAGATTGTAAGTCTATGGGCATCCGTTTACACCCGGTTACCCCCGACTTTGGCCATGACCGGAAAAACAAAAGGATCAGAGATCCTTTTCGCCGGACCTGATTGTGCCAGATCGGGAGTAATCTGATGTCACAGTGGTGATATCTGCTCCATACTGCTGTGATCAGGAAATGATCTGGGCATGGATTCTCTCCTGATCAGCCCGTGTGAAAGGGGCTTAGCTGTTTGCCTGGAGTTCAGATTTAATGTTTATATTCGTTTCTAATTGTAGCACTGTGATGAATCTTTTCAATCTCCTCCAATATGCCAACCAATGTTTGTTAGCAATGCGTAGCTCTCATCCAATTCTGGATATTGCTGTACATATAATATTTAAATAACAGTTACACTACGAATCTTCAGCAATTTAGAAAACTAAACTAGATATATCCATACCACCACAAATTCACTATGCATAAATGACGTAATAGCATCATATCACCACAGGTCTACTTGTCCTGTCCGGGGGTGCAATTATCTTAAATTGTTGTTAGAGACATATTTCTCTAAGCATGACTTGTCTGACCACAATCAAATTTATATCTCTAAAAACTGAAATAATCAGATTCAGTCAGGTCAGTAAATATGTTATGCTTTGTGCAGTGCTTGTCAGCTAATCCACTCAACATGGAGGTAAAAGAGCTGGCAAAGGAAGCAGAACTTTAGCAGCCATTTTTGCTGTAGTCACCCATTGGAGGGGTCTATACTATCATGATTTTTGTGTGGAGGGTTAAACAGTTCAAATGGAGTATGCTTGCAGCTATAGGGTTACGGTAGGACATGGATGTGGGATATTTAATTGAGTTTCTTATATTTCTGCATGGAATTTGATTTAACCAGTTACCACTATGTTATTCAGGTAAATACTAAGGAAAAAAGTCCTGTCTTCAGGCAGCTTTGCTGACATCTAATGGTAGGATCCCAGTCTTGCCCTTTCTGCCCTATTGGTCTCTGTGTGGTCCTACCCTCAACTGTGATGGTTGTATCCTACCCTACTATGCAGGCTATTTCTTACAATGAGGGGAGTTCTTTGCGTTAGCTGCATTCATTGTATTTTTTTTTAACAGGACTATAGAATATGTCTGTTATGGCTTCTATGTGACTTTTAGGCCTCATTCAGACGGGGCGTACACGTCAGTGAAGAGTGCCCGTCCGTAAACAGGCCGTTCCCAGGAGGGACAGGAGCTGCGTGTAATTGCGCGCAGCAGCCTGTTCTTCCCTATGGGGGACGCGGCTTTACGCTGTCATACGCACAGATTTGCAAGTTCGGTGTCTGCACTTGGGCGCACACTGTCTGCGTCCATGTGCGGACACCGGAACCTGCACGGGTGTGTGGTTGGCAGAGTACAGCAGCATCCTCCCATAGGGAAGAACAAGCTGCTGCGCGTAATTACACACACCACCTGTCCCTCCCGGGATCGGCCCGTTTACGGGCGTGCACTCTTCACTGACGTGTACGCCCCGTCTGAATGAGGCCTTCGTCCTGGTACATATGTAGAATTGTTTGCTACCTAAACATCACCAGAATGATTCTTCCCCTTTCAGCTTCTAATGTTGTCTAGAATGTGTTTGATAACAGCCTTGTGTTTTTCACCTTTAGCAATTAGTTTTTAATTCTGTGACAAACTGTTTGGGTCCGCGGAAGTTTCTGCACAGTGGAAAACTCTACAAAGCCAAGAGCAATAAGGAATTATATGGTTTTCTGTTCAATGACTTCCTGCTGCTGACACAAATCATCAAACCGCTTGGATCCTCTGGCAACGACAAAGTCTTCAGCCCTAAATCCAATCTTCAGTACAAGATGTACAAGACAGTGAGTGGATACCTAATTTGTGTAGCTGTGTACGTTGTGTGTGTGTCTTACTGCTGAATTATGTGCAGATGTGACTGGCTCTGTAAGGTGTGGCAGAATATACACCTATCAGCCATAAAATTATGACCACCGACAGGTGAAGTGAAAAACATTGATTATCTGGTTACGATGGCACTTGGAAGTGGGTGGGATATGTAAAGCAGCAAGTGAGCATTTCGTCCCTGAAGCTTTTGTGTTGTAAGCAGAAAAAATAAGGCAGGCATCAGGATCTGAGCGACTTTGACAAGGGCCAAATTGTGATGCTACATGACTGGATTAGAGCAACTCCAACACTGCAGCTCTTGTAGGATGTCCCCAGTCTGCAATGGTCAGGACCTGCCAAAAGTGGTCCAAGAAAAGAAAATGTGTGGTAGGGTGTCCCTATACAGGGTAAACCAAAATGGTCAAAGCTCCCAACAAAGACTAATGTTCTTAAATGATCTTACTAAGATAATTCCAGAGGTGTATTTAGGCCCAAACCGTACATAGCGAAAAGGAAGGAAAACCAGAGAACCGGTGACAGGGTAATGGGCAGTCAAGATTCTTTGATGCACATGGGGAACGAAGGCTCATCCAATAGAAGAGCTACTGTACTAAAATTGCTGAAAACGTTAATGTTGGTTCCGATGGAAGGGTGCCTGAACACAACACATTGCAGTTTGCTGCATATGGGGCTGCATAGCCACAGACTGATCACGATGCCCATGCTGGTCCACTATCCACCGTCAGAAGCGCCTACAGTGGGCACGCGAGCATCAGACCTGGACCACGGATAAATGGAAGAAGGGGGCCCAGTCTGAAGAATCACATTTTCTTTTACATCATGTGGATGGCTGGGTGCATGTGCGTCTCATGTATGGAAGCCCCTCCTTGCAACTTACAGGTACCTAAAGGATCTGCTACTGATGACATGGTACCAGATACTACAAAACACCTGCAGAGGTTTAGTGGAGTCCATGCCTCGATGGGTCAGGCCGTGGCAAAAAGTACAGGAGCTTTTTTTGGCATATTACAGCTCGTTTTGGCCCTATAGAATGAATAGGAAATGCTTGCAAACACCCGTTTGCTGTATTTGTGCGCGTTTTTATGCGTTTTTTATGCACTTTTTCTCATTAACATCAATGAGCTACAATCTGCTCACAAAAACGAGTATGCACATAAAACGCGTTTTAAAGTGTGTTGTAAAGTAGTCTCCAAGCTTGCTCCTGTAATAGACTATACCTTCAAAATAAATTAGTAAACTAAACATGAGATTGTAGTCCATCACAGGAGTGAGCTTGGAGCGGTGACTACTTTACAACACACATAGGGAACATGGGGAACAAAAGTATCCCCCCTCCAGAAGGAAGGACAGTGTCGGCACCAATTCAGAGATGATTTGAAGATCTACAGCCGAGTGATACACAAATAAGATAATTTTTTTTATAAATAGCTGAGGTAGGAGCATGCATTTTTAAGCTCAGAGTTTAGTGTCACTTTAATCTCAAAATGCCTTCTCTCTGCAGCCCATATTCCTGAATGAAGTGCTGGTGAAACTGCCCACAGATCCATCAGGGGATGAGCCCATATTCCACATCTCTCACATTGATCGTGTGTACACGCTGCGTGCTGAGAGCATCAATGAGAGGTGAGGAGGCTTTTTGTAAAGCCAACATGTCTGCACTTTAAATTCTTACACTTTACACACACTTATATAGGTGCCTGCATGTATGGGTCCCATACCTTGTAGAGGTCTTGGGAAATCCTGAAGCTCTGGTAGCTCTAATAAGTGTGCTTGCCCCCTCTGACGCCCTGTGTTAGTCTGTGAGGGTGTCCATAATAATGATGAGGCAGGGTGGAGTGGGACTTCAGGATGTTTTGGGAGAACTAAAGAGAGCCAATTATTATTGGTCTTATGCAAACATGTAAATATTCTGCCTCTTATTAATGTAACTTTGCAGGCTTACGTCTGATAGATTTATACCTCTCCCTTATTTAGTTGTGCTACTTTGTATGAGCCTGACCCTTTACTGGCAGAACGATTCCAGGGGTTTTACTCTGACCTGTCTGTTCAATATTCCCAAGCCCATAAGGGTAAACCTCTGAATGTCTTTATTCGTGTACAGAACTTCCGCATAGAACCTATCAATTCTGTCATAGTCTCCATTCACAGGGAGACTTTTTGGCTTCTGTGGAGATGTCCCCATCTTTCCAGGGCATCAGCGATTCCTACGGCTTTCTGTGGGGTCCCTGCTCTACCTGTTCGTGGCTCTGCCTTTTGGCCCCATATCCACCACAGATATTCTCCAAGGTGTTGGCCCCAGTACTAGCCCTGCTGTGCCCTTGTGCTATCCCCATTGTGGGATATTTAAATGACCTCCTGTTAAGGGACAACGTAGCTTTAACTGTCCACATGCTACATCAGTTTGCATTGATCTTGAAGCTTCAGAAATTGTCACTAGAACTGACTGATCATGAAGAGTATTTGGCTGTATCCCTGGACACAGCTCAGGCCACAAGGTTTCTTCCACAGGAGAAATATTAGACACTCTGGTCTGATTCATGACATTGGTACTGACTTTGTCTGTGGAAGCGTTAAAGTGATATTAAAGTCACAAAAGTTTTTCCCTCCCCCCAATGTTAATGAAAGCACTTACCTTAAATGATGTCTCTTAATCCGATCTTCTTCTTCTTTCCTGTCCTTTTCATCTGCCCCTCCTGCACTGCGGCGGGTCTCCGATCCAGTGTTGACTCCTCTGTCCTTGCTGGCACTTCCTGTCCCACGGTGTCTGCATGCGGGTGCACGTGTCCATAGACTTACCTTGTGTCTCTCCTCGCGTACCGGCCGAAAATGTGATCTGCGCCTTTTTTTTTACTTTCCAGATGTGGAAGTGAGGGAAAATCTCCACTTGTCTGTCGACAACTTTAGAATTTCCGTCACTTTCTGGCTCGGTTGCAGTGGTCACCAGGACGTATAAAGAGCATGAATCTTGCCAACAGAACAAAAAACCTGACTAGGATTTCAACATACTCTATTTCTATCTAAAACAAACAAAAAAAGTTTGTACATTAGATTCACTTTAACAAGAGGAATATCAACATTCTAGACATTTTGTGGCCCCCTTTAGATTGAATTTATATCTAATATATTATTGTAAATAAGTAATGTATAATGAATGTCAAATGCATTGTATGCCTGTATATATTATGGCCAGGACATTAAGCCCCTGTGCTTTCTTTGCAGAACAGCGTGGGTGCAGAAGATCAAAGCTGCCTCAGAGTTGTATATTGAGACAGAAAAAAAGAAGCGGGAGAAGGCATATCTAGGTAACACGCTCAATGATTTCAGACGTCTGATAAAAACACAACCGTGGTTCAAACACATTCAGTATATAGGAGCTATACAGGCACCTGATATAAATATTTATGAAACAATGCACATGTTCTCATGGCAGTGATATGTGACTGCAAATATAGGGAGGGTAGCAACATTGTTTACCATCTGCTATACTAGGGGTAGCCAAACTTCAGCCTTCAGGCTGTGATGAAACTACAAATCCCTTCATACATCTGCCTCTGGAAGTCATGTCTGTGGCTATCAGTCTTGCAGTGCCTTATGGGACTTGCAGTTTCACCACAGCTGGAGGGCCAAAGTTTGCTTACACCAGTGCTATACCATTGTCCTGCCTTACCTCTGCTCTTTGGTCAGGCTGTGAACATCGCCCCCCTGTCATATTACAGTGTTTGCATTCTCAGAGCAAGATTAATAAAAATGTTCAAAATCTTGCTAAACTCGGTCACGTCTACTGCTACTTTGATGTCAATTTGTAGCTGGAGTGTGGCAATAATTATAATGTCAGATTTCAGATGGATGTTCAGGTTTAGATATAAAATGATTTCACAGCTTTTGAAGGAATACATAAGTGAGCTTTGCAGACATCCTAACTTTCCCCGGAGGCTCTGGGAGTCTCCTCCCGCTATTGGATAGCGGCTCCCAGCCGCCCGGGAGAGAAACACTTCCTCCCGGAAAGGTTTAATCGGAGCAGAGTAAACCTTTCCCTGCGATCGTTTTTTTTTTTCTTTTCTGACATCGGGAGCCGCGGCCCGACCGTCAGTCAGAAAAGAAAAAAAAAGGCATACGATTGCATAGCTAGATTCCTATTGGCTATTGCACTTTGCAATAGCCAATAGCAAACTAGCTAATGCACCCGCCCACTGCTGCTGTCAATCAGCAGAGGGGGACCTGCATTTTTCTATCAGGTCCTCTTCTGGTGATTGAAAGCAGCAGAGGGCGGGTGCAATAGCTAGTTTGCTATTGGCTATTGCAAAGTGAAATAGCCAATAGGAATCTAGCTATGCATTCCTAGGCTTTTTTTATTTTTTTTTATTCTGTCGACTGCAAATGTCAGAATACTAAAAAAAAAAAGCCTGCAGATAGCAAAGGATCTATTGCTTCCTGTGCTATCTGCCATCGTTTCAGGGGGGTGCTCTCTCCCAGCCCCCCCTCCACGGACGGGGAGGGGAGGGCACCTCCCTGAAATGAGAGGGACACCTCCCTGAAATTGCTTCTTTCAGGTTTGGGATCCCTGGCTTTGCTGTAATTCTTCCCTAGAATTGTACAGCTGCACATAGATCTGCACTCATCACTCCAGGTAGCTTATTTCATAAAACGGTGCAGAGAGTTCAAATGGTGTGTTCAGCAACCTTACAGAACATGTTTACCAGGAGTGTCTTCAGGTATAAAGTTAAATTCCAGGCAACCAGATACATGCACAGACATGTACATATACATATATGAGAGCAGGGTTTACATTTCTGTCCACCCAGTCCTGAATTTTACACACCTCTGTCACACTGTTGAGCCTGGTCTAGCAGGGGAGGGGACCTGACCTTGCTCTGCTACAGTTTTACACGCAATCTTTGATTAGACTGAAAACAGAAGCAGCAGACTGATGAGCTCATCTCTCTGTCACTCTGCTCTCATCTTATCTGCATTTTCCTTGCACTGCAGCCCACCTTATTGGAGGTCTGTGCTGTTTTCCTGCCTGCATTCGATTAAAAAAAAAAAACATTTAATTGTCTATAAATGATTACCGAGCTCTGTTCATTTGTGCCTTTTAAATCTATGAATAAACAATGCTTATTATGTGACAGTAAGCAGCATAAGATGTGCTGGTAATGTATAACTGGCCTGTTGAAACTCGGCAAAACACACACTGGGGAACCTTAGCTGTCGGCTTCTGGATTGATGGGTTTTGAATCATTAATCGTGCAGCGTATATTTAATGGGTGTGAAATGACCCAGTTCTGTGTGAGCTGGCTCTGGGTGGTACTGGTACTCGAGACCTTATTTTAAAAGTTGAAGATACAGTAAGGCCCTGCACCTTCTGGTGTCTGCAGTCACATATAACATTTGTTTATACATAATTTAACAGTGACCTGTTCCCTTAAAAGACATTGCAAATTGTTACTGTTTTGTATCATGCTGTTTGTCCCTTTTCTTTGTAGTACGTTCTCAGAGAGCCACTGGAATTGGGCGGCTGATGGTGAATATTGTGGAAGGTATTGAATTAAAACCATGCAGGTCACATGGTGAGTACCTGTCATTGTGAAGATTTGTGAGGATATGTTGTGATACCTTCTGGCTTTGATTAGAGGTTATAGAGTGCATAATGTCTTGTGGATTAAGAGTGTACCTAGTACATCCTCCTAACAACTACCACATCGACTCCAATATTAACAAAGGTATTTTTGCTTTTTAACTTCATCATAACGAATGTTTGTAAAGTTATGAAAATGTGCCGAAACTAACGAAAATCCGTATTTCGTATGAATCCGAATTGAGTTTTGGATACGAAATACGAAATAATGGATATTACGAAACGGAACAAATTTTTTGACAGCGCACAAGTCTACCTTCCAGCTGTGTGTGTGCTCCTGTGGATCCCCTCAGTGTGTCAGTGGGCTTTAGTTTGCTTCAAGTGGGTTTTGCATTTCCATTCAAGTCTATGGTAATGTAAAACCTGCTTGAAGCAAGTCACATGCAGGTCAGAAGGAGGTCAACTGCGGGTCAAATGCACTTGTGAATGAATTCAGAATGATCTCAGTTACCTCTCAAACTGATGCCATCAACAACGAACCCAAAGCTGCTGATAGCAGCTCCTCCTTCTGCCATTACCGGAACACCTTCTTAACCTCTTTATACATAATGTATAAATGAAATTAAAGGTACCATTTCTGTGTTTGGAGATATCACAAAGCCGTATTGTCTTACAAAATTATTTTAATTTGCAAGCTGGCCTGGATGCCGACTGGGCAGCTTCATTACAAATTAGGTTTAATGTTGGAGGGGCTAAAAACAAGTATGCATCATACCGTGTACGGCAGGGATAGGCAACCTCGGCGCTCCAACTGTGGTGAAAACTACAAATCCTATTGGGCATTGCAGGATTTTGACAGCCACAGGCATGACTCCGGAAGCAGATGCCTGATGGGATTTATTGTTTTACCACAGCTGAAGGCCCCAGGTCGTCTATCACTGCCAAAGACTGTACAGCTAGGGGAGTCAAAGGATCTGGTGTTCTGATAGATCATTAACAGGTTGCAATGCAATAGTAAGCAAAATATTTTCTTGTATAGAGAGGGACACAACCTGCCCCTGTACAAAGCATCAGTAAGACCTCATCTTGAATATGCACAAACAGAATGTTAAAGAGGTAGTTCATACTCAAGTAATTTTTCAGTAATGGATGGAGTCTAGTGCTCTGAGACACACTTTGACTTCTTATATCACTTTGGGGTGTTATCCCTTTGCCACAGTTCTGTTTTCTCTTCCCATTTCTTCTTGTTGCATTCTCCACAATCTAAAACTGAGTAAACATTCAGCAGAATGTAGGTCCTCCTTATAATGACCACAGAAGGTTGCAAACCTGGAATTGCGGTGTCTAGACTCACAGAAGGCTTGTTCACACCAAATGCAGACCAGATCTGCATGAGTTTCTGCACACGCAGTGCAGTGGGTTGTGCCGCGTTTATTGTCGCGTTCCGGACCAGGTTTTTTTTTGCCCCAGCCTAAAATGGGTTTCCAGTGTGTTCCAGGGCGTTTGCATGCGGGTTTGCATGCGGTTTTGATGTGTTTGCATGCTTTCCAGAGCAGGAAAAAATAGGGCTTGCTGCAGTTTATTTACATGCTCTGGAACTGAACGCTGCGGTATGAACTAGAGCCCAAAATACCATTGGAATACATTGGACGCAGTTTTGATCTGGTCTGTAACTGCTCTGCTCCTGGAACGCGCTTGGTGTGAACTAGCCCTGTGAGATATAAATGATGATAGCTGCTTTAAATTGATGTAAACCCTTGCAATGAATTGCTACCAGTTTCTATATTTTACTTTTTTGATATGCCATTAAAAGCTTTTTGTTATATCTCATATGTAGTGGGGAAAAAATACATGTTGAGCTTGTCAGGAATTCTCTGCGAACTTTCAGTGTTCTTGTAAGGAGTCCAATTAGCCCTCCTAGTTGATATTGTGTGACTACAAAACAATTATTCTTTATGTTGTGAAGAGTAGAATAGAGAGACAGTTTAAGTAGTTCAGCAAAAGACAACTTGGCAGGACTGACACCACTCAGTCCATAAAAAAGTGTTGCCAGACGTAGGAGCTCAGTGCATTTCTGGCAGATCAACAGGCATTTTTCTGTACTTGTGGCGTCCTTAAGGAGATAAAACATGGGGAATTCTGTATGTACATTATTTTTTTTCAATTTGCCTTGATAATCTCTCCAGCCACTACCAAAATCTATACATCAATGTTGGGTGGACAATCCCTATAAGAACATAACAAATGTCTTGTGTTTTTTTTTGTATACAGTGGCCTATAACGTATATCTTATAGTTATACCGGTGTGTATTGTTTTGTCCAGGTAAGAGCAATCCGTACTGTGAGATCACGATGGGCTCCCAGTGCCACATTACCAAGACCATCCAGGACACTCTCAACCCCAAGTGGAATTCCAACTGCCAGTTCTTCATAAAGGATCTGGAGCAGGATGTTCTTTGTATCACCGTCTTTGAAAGGGATCAGTTTTCTCCGGACGGTGAGTACTGGCAATGGCGTGCTGACACTCCCAGATGTGCTGCCTCTGCAGGGCAGGGTAGGGGGCATTCCCGGTCCTTTATGACTGCTCCCAGGACAAATGAAGGTCTCCCTTTAAGGGCGCCCAGAAGCAACTCTAAGTGTAGACATACATAAATGGTGCCAAACCAAACAGTGAAAAGGTTGAAAATATTTCCAATTGTTTGCAATTCAATTAAAAAGAGAAAAAAAACCCCAACACAATCCAATAGAAAGCAGTTTTTACATTTAATATAGTATAATGTGTAAGTATGATTTAAAGTTACCCTGTATGGTAACCATTCACAGCAAACTTAACAGATTCACTGAAAGGTTTTCCATCCCCACCACTGCTTACTGTATACCAGTGACGTGCGGTACCTTTTGGTTCCGGGTGAGGGATTCCCCAGCCCCGCCCCCGGCCCACTGAAGCCCCGTCCGCTGAAGCCCCACCTCCAACCTGGTCCCCAAGCTAGTGTGAAGGAGGGAGTAAGGGAGGAGACAGGGAGGAGCCTCCCTGTCCCTCACTTGCTCGTCACTGCTGAGGCCTCGAGATCGATGGCCTCAGTGTTTTGTTTTTTTCTTTGTTTGATTGGACAACTTGGACCAATGGCGCTTTGCCATTGGTCCAAGCCATCTACAGAGCTCACCCCTCTAACACAGAGTAGAAGCCGTGACAGCTCTGGCCTCACTAGTTAGGTTACACAAGCAGTGGGGAAGCCCGCTGCTGTGTAACCTAACTACCTGTCAAAAGCTAGATGCAGTGCTGCCTGTAATTAACAGGCAGCGCTCCGTCTATGACAGGTTACACAGCGCGGAGGCTTTCTCTGCTGTGTAACCATTAACAAGCCGATCTGAATGGAGAAAAAGCTGTCAGCTTCAGACTTGAAACTGACAGCTTTTTCCTCCATAATACTAGGTGAGGCTCTGCCTCCCCTGACTGCACATCCCTGCTGTATACTTGTTGCCTTTGTGCTCTGCTTACCCACCATAATGAAGAGAAATGCACAGTACTTCTGGGTATGAGGGAGCATGCGACTTACCTTCTTTCCTCCCAAGATGCAGAGCTTGGAGCCATTCCACGTGGGCGTGGGGGATCTCCGACCAATCCAATCTGCAGCTTATTTGCTCTAGTGGGTTAACGGCCACAGAGGACTGAAAGGAAGCTAAGTACAGGGTTATGTTAAGTGGATTGACTCCCCTCTACACCGAGCTCTGATATCCAAGAAGACTTCAGCCCTCCAGCTGTGGTGAATCTACAAATCCCATCATGCATCTGCCTCTGGGAGTCATGTTTGTTGCTGTCAAGAGTTTTGCAATTTGTTGCACCACAGCTGGAGGGCTGGGGTTTGACCACTCCAGCTTTGTAGAATAGATGCCAAAATGTGACAGCTACAGTAAAGTGTTATACAGTATCACTCCTATTTTCCTGATGATGTGGCCACCGGAAAAAAAAAATTTTTAAAATTAAAAACTCTCTAAAAACTTTAGATATTCTTTGTCAACATAATAAATAAAATACATTTTTTAAATGTTCTTTTTATTGTATAATGATAAGAAAGTTACCATGTCCTTCTAACACCCTTCGCTTAGATTTCCTTGGGCGGACAGAAATACGAGTAGCGGACATTAGGAAAGATCAAGGCTCAAAGGGTCCAGTTACCAAGTGTCTGCTGCTGCACGAGGTCCCGACAGGCGAGATTGTTGTCCGGCTGGACTTGCAGCTGTTTGATGAGCCGTAGGAAGACTTGCACAAGCCGCGTCCTCCTTCCAACCCCCAATCCCTCGGCCGCAGCGCCCTTCACAATGGTACATCGCCAAACTCCGGATCCGACATTGCCGCATTTCTGTCTCAGATTTTTAATTGGGATTGCCATTTTCTAAGAAGATGTCTGTGTTTTATATGTGGGACTCCATTTTAGATTGTAGCCTGTTGGTTGTTTTTTGTTTTTTTGCTTTTCTGGGTACAGATGACCTTCGCTGTGATAGGAAGATTTACATGTTCTGAATTCCTCTCCCATCACTAACTGCACATAAAACAGACGGTACGTTTGAGAGTCTGGAAGGAAATACTGCAGGTTTCAGGTCCGGCTACCCATGATTCCCTGCTGCTAGAGCATGACATGTCCTGTCAAGCTGGAACTTGTAGTTCTACACACACTGCAGAACCATGGAAGTTGTGTAAATGTGGAATATTTGACCAAAATCATTTAGAAATGAACTCATGCAACATTCAATTTCTTTATCAACTAAATTATTGTCTTTTAACATTCCACAGCATCAATAGTTACTTTTCATTGTTCAGGTTTTTGTTTTTTTCCTTTGTCTGATGGCAAGGTAAGAAAAGTATTTTAATGCTACAGAAGTGTCTTCAAAATCAGTCCATAGGAAAGTATAGAAGCTACATGTGTGTACTGTATTCATGTACATGTCATAAGACCTTTATGTATCGATATCTTCTCACTAAGAAGCAGAGTTACTTCTCTTTTAAATTGTTGCCACCAAACCACGCATCAGAGCTGTCCTAAAAGTTGGAATTTGATTGGTGGTTGTAGGCAAATAACTCTTCTTCTTCCAAGTAAGCGTTTTGTATGGTTTAATTTTAGCTGAAAGCTCCTTACAAGAGACCATTTTGCCCAGAATTTCTATCTACTAAAGTAGGAATTTGCCAAAATTGGTTTTAAAGCAACTCCGGGAAAGCATTGAGAAAAAGACTCTTTATACGGCCCACTCTGGTGAATTCTTACTTCGCTCTCTTGAAGAGCTACAGCCTCCAGCAGGTTCTATAGCCTCCAACACTCCTGGGGGTGTCGTGTGCATGATCCTCCATTGTGGTAGGGTGGATCCTCCATCCACCCTACATGAACTATTTTGTCCTTTTGGGCTGGCAGAAGGAACTATAGAACGTGGTGGGTGATGCAGGCATGTGAGATTGCAAGTAGTATAAGCGGCTGAACATTCTCCTGGAAGCCTTTCAAGAGAGTGAAGTGAGGACTTGCCACCCGCTAGAGAGGTTAGTATTAAGAGGCTTCTTTTGTACACTGCTGTTTTAGTTTTGTTTCAAGCAACAAAGTTGCTTTAAGGCGTATCTAAACCCAAAAACAAAAATGCAGTTTATCGGTCCCTAGATGCGGTGGCTGAATTACTTTTCTTTTTTCATACTTTTACCCTTTTTTTTTTTTTTTTAAATCAGATATTTTTTTATTAACAATTGTTTGAAAATACAAAACCAGAAACAAAAGAAAAATAAATCATGAATAATTTCTTTTTTTTTTTCATACTTTTTCCCTTTTTTTTTTTTTTTTAAATCAGATATTTTTTTATTAACAATTGTTTGAAAATACAAAACCAGAAACAAAAGAAAAATAAATCATGAAAAGAACAACAAAATGAAAAGAACAGGTAAGCATACATAACCCATTTTACCCTGATAAACGACACATTTCCTGTCCCTTTGCGTCTACACTCATTCCTTCATTGTGTCTACGGGGGCAGCCATCATTGCCAAACAGAGTTGGACTTCAAACATGTTTGCCTTTGTGGTGGCTTCTGCCAGAAAACTTCTGTTGGAAAGGATCAGTCCCCCAGTGAACTCACTGACACAGTGCAGTTGCTCATTCTTATTTTGTACACTTCCAGGAAACCTGTCATGTTTTGGTTCTGTGACTCAGAAGAATAGAAACGCAACATTTTCAGAAAGATTCCAACAAGGCCAGCCTCCATATTCCTCTCATGTTAGGAGTCTTTTAGAGCTGAACTCCGGGCCCAGATATAAATTTGCAGGGTGAAATCCATCATAGATGTACAGACATGGACAATCTTGTTGGTACCCTTCCTCTGAAATAACTTTAAACTAACCAAGTAAGTGGCATCTATCATTGTTTAATTCCTATTTCATAAAATCAGACAGCTGTATGTTTTAAAATTCCTTAATAGTCCTGAGATTTAATTGTGCCCTGCTCATATTCAATAGGAAGATGTCACCAGCACACCAAACGATGATAACGGCAATCAAGTGCTCATTTATTGACAAATGCTGTCTCTCATTAGCAAGTGCTTTCGAGGCCACACAGGGTCCCCTTCATTAGGCTCAGAGATGACTTAAGGCACCCTGTGCCAGACACAGCATAGCAGCCCTAAAACATACAACATGAAGCCTTCTCCATGTAGGTGGAACGATGTTCTTTTTTTTTTTTAAGATATTCATTTTATTTTTTCTTCTGAACACAGAGCTGATGTATGAAAGGGTTCCAGTTTAGTCTCATTTGTCTATAGGACATTCTTGCAGAATCATTTTACCTTGTCATTATACATTTTAGGATATTCCAGTCTGGCTTTTTTTTGTTTTTCCTTCAACTGTGGAGTCCTCCTTTTATTTGAGCCTACTTTCACTCAAAAATGATGGATAGTTCAATCAGACTCTGATGTACCTCGACCTTGGAGTTCAGCTTGTATATCTCTGGAAGTTTCCCTTGGCTCTTTGCCTGCCATTTGCACTATCCTTCAGTTCAATCTGGGGTGGATTTCCCTCTTACAGCCACATTCAGGGATGTTCGCTACTCTTCTGAGGACCTTAAACTTCCTAAAAATATTTGCAACTGTAGTCATCAAGCTGCTTGAGATGGTCTTATAACCGTTAACTTTTGACATGCTTGTATAACCTTTAACTTTCTGATCTCAGACAACTTTCTTCTTTGCTTTCTCTGGTTCAGTGTGGCACACACGAGGATCCTAAGCAGCAGAGTGTCTCCTGTCCTCCAATGAAATACCATCAAATCTGTGGAGAGGAGAGATCCTGGCATTTCCTTCTCCTGCTTAGAGGTTATCTTTAAAATTTGCACATTGTGATTGTCAAGTGCTGATCCTTCTAAAAATGTTTCACTTATTATTGGCGCTTAAAATCAGTTGACGTGTCATCACCCGACTGTTGCAATTACCACATTGTGCGCTTTATTACTCACTGGTTCCATTAAGCTCTAAGCACTGAGTGGAACGTCTATTGTATGCAAGTCTTGACCCTGGCTTCAGCAGCTTGGTGGACCACCCATTCCAAAATGGTTACAGCCTTCAGAGCATCATTGTAATTGCACTGCAGGTAGACATTTCACCTGTGGTGCGTCTGCATATTTCAACCAATGATGCTAGTTAGATATTACTTATGAGTTCGGACCAATGAAATAGAACGATGGGGCACAGAAAGATGTGGGGTTCGGTCAGACCAATAGCCAGAACTGCCCCTCATCCTCCCAGAAGACGGAGGTCCAAATGGAGATGAGCTGCATATGAGCTCAGGAGATATATGTGGAACAGGTCACTTAAGAGAATATTCCTGACCCCTCCTCATATAGGTGCTGTCAGAACCTTTTCAAATGCAGAAACAACACTCGTTGGTTGCAGATTCTCTGTCATAGGAAGTACAGCTCATGGCCCAGAAACCGAGATACCTCCATCATAGTTCACATCATTCCCATCTTGAAACATAGGAGTTGATTTTCTGTTGCACTTAATGGTTCAGCCGGGGCATGAACACAGGCCAAGGCCTATATCACCCAGATACATTTGGATGAAAGGAAACTTGCCGATTGACTAATACCCCTATTTAGTAAATTATGAACAGTGAGGTACAGTATCCTATAACAACTTATTATAAATCATCAGAGCTGACCTCCATAAGCTGAAATCTAGTTGGTACGGGTTACTCTACTTTGGGCAGCATCACTATTTTTGCGCTGCCTTAACAAACTTGCCTGATTTACAATTGAGCTACAATACTCTGAAACATACCTGTTTTTTTCTATTTTACTCATTATTTGCCATCTGAAAGTCTTTTTTCCATTGACAAAATCTACTGATCAGTACGGCTATTGGTCTCTTTAGAAAGGTCATCAGCACAACAATGAAGGTGCAATTTTGTGAGCTTCTTGATCGTGTTGCTAGTTCTTACACTTCCAGGCCGAGGTATTACCATGTCACTGAAAATGTGCTGAGATAGATAAATAAAAGCAGCTAATCCAGATAAAGGTCTCTGTCAGGACTCTGGGACCGTGGGAGCCCCATACAACCTGCTCTTGTTCTAGAACATTGGCGGTGCTTACCTGTGACACTACTGAATACAGCCGTAGAGTCTGATGTTTAATTTATTGACATTGTATGAGGTACGTGTGTTTTAATATGGTACGTATGCCACTATGGCAATTCCTATAAATGCTGGTTAGACTCTAGGCAATATAATATACTGTATGTGTGTGTGTGTATATATATATGTATATATATATATATATGTGTATACACATATATACACACACATTTTTTTTTTTTAGTTATAGTCCAGAATGGATGCACACTATTGCACAAATTAACATTTCACTAGGCCCCAATGACCTGCGCCTCTCTAGCTGTTGTCACGCTTCAACCCGCAGAGAGTTTTACTTCAGCAAAGGTAAAGGCCTTGGTTACCTGTAACGGTGATGTATTGTGGTAGTGGTGGTGGGGGGATGGACTATAGACCACTGTAATATAATGGTACTTTGGAACGTTGTAGGGGGTCCAATGTTTACATTTCATATTTAAATATGTTAGCATTTATTTATTAGGGTCAGTGTCAAGTTCTGCACTCGCCAATTACATTTTTTTTCTCTCCTGATTAAAGTTTCTTGCCATACATTTGGTTACAATGAAGGGAATAATTTCCTAAAGAAAAGCATGTATTTGCCATATTAGGGCCTATACCTTTAAAGTATTTTGTTTTCTATGTAAAAGTTGCTGTCATGCTTTCTTGGATAATTTTTTACTGATGTGAAAATATTAAGTAGGCCACTGGTGGCCAATTTGTTCAGGTTAGTTTGTATCAGAATTCTCTATTCTCTAAAGCCAACTTCATGCCAAAATAATTTAGTTTTGAGTGACTGCTGGTTAAGTTAGTTCTCATGCTGGACGTTACAATATATCTGGACATGTGTGGATAGATATACCCATCAGAATTTCAAGTTCTGTCCAAATGGTGCACCCCCTTACATGCTGGTGCCACCCTCCCTTCTAGAATAAACAAGGAAAGGTACGCACATGGGAACATTCTCCTGACTGAGCTGTTTATAGTCAGATTAGGGAAGATTTGTATATCTCTAGGCACTACCCAACAGCACCAGACATCCCCTCCCTGTTCTGCCCTTGGAGGATAGTTGA